CAAATTTTAGTCTTCTAAAGCTGGGTCAGTAAACAACAGCCCACAGGCCCAATCCTGCCAACTCCCTAGTTTCGTGAGGCCCACAAGCTAAGAATGTTTTTACATTTTTTAATGGTCAAAAAAAAAAAAAAAAAAAAGAGAGAATATTTTGTAACACATGAAAAGTACAAAAATTTCTAATGTCCAGGCCCACAAATAAATGCTTTATTAGAACACAGCCAGGCTCATTTGTTTACATATTTTCTGTGGCTGCTTTTGTGCTACAACCGCAGAGAGTTGAGAAGTGACAGAAACTGGACAGTCTGCAGTCTAAGACATGTACTGTCTGGGATTTTACAGAAAATAGTTTGCTGACCTGTTCCATGCATTTATACATTCAGGCTCAATTTGAGCTTTTGAATTTTTTCTATGAAATTATGAAAAACTTTCAACTCTTTTTTCCAGAAAGATCAATAAGGCAGTCTTGCTCTGAAAAAATTTTGACAGCTTGGGCTGAATTGAAATGACACCATTAGGTTATGGTTAAAGTGACTAGTTTGTCCAGCTTGAAAGTCTGCCTCCCTCCCTCTCTCTTCTTCTAAATAAATACATTAGAGTTATCTCTAGATAGTAAGACTGGGTTTTACAACCCAACCTGTCTTTCTGTTATTCATCTCGACTGCGTTATGGGTTTAGTTTCACAACATTATGAGTTCATCCAGGCTTCCTGAATCATTTATTGGGATTTTCATTTTTCACTCTCAAACTCTTATACATTTTCTCTGTGAATTTTTTTTAACATAAAGTTCAGAGTATGCAATGACCTACACATGTAAAATAAAGTCTATGCTTTTATTTTCTAGCTTTAAGAAATCAGAAATTTTAAAAATTGCTTTTTCTTTGGAGACTAAACTTAATTTGGCAGGAGAAGAAAATACCTTCAGATCCAAGGATCTCAAAGCACCTCTGGTGGAGGTACAAAACAAGGTAAAGAACGCCTATTTATTTTTAAATACTGTTTACTTCTTGTAGGAAATAGTGTTTAATGGAAAAGATGAGACTAGTAACAAATAGAGTTCAAGGCTATTTGGGTTCTGCCAACGACTCAGTTTGACTTTGGGCAATTCATCTCACCACTGTTGCTCTTTATCTGCAAAAATTGGACTTCATGCCTATGGGAGTTGCATGGCTAATCAATGCCTGGAAAATGCGTAGTGGCAGATGCTACAAAAGTGCTGAGCCTTAAAAACAAAACCACCCCCATCCCCCATTTGTATTCAGTTGAGGTTGAGGTTTATTGTTATTTAACATTCGAAGGCCAACACTATGTTAAGTCCAGCGTGCTGCACAGGGCAGATAATATCACTGTCCAGCAGGGATTTTTTTAAATCTAGGATTTTGGACTTTTCTTTATTGTGGTTGGGGGTTATTGTAGAATCCAGTAGTGTATCTATACAAAAACATTAAGCTTTAAGTTAAAACTATCGATTAAAAAATCTAAACCCTCCCCCCCCCAAAAGAGGCCCTCCCTCGCCCCGCCAAGATATCTCTCAAAACAAGAATTCTTCAGATTTTTTTTTCCCCCTCCCTGCAGTTCTCCATGTTACAGTCCTTGGAGGTAGAATAGGCATAAAATACTTTCACTAATAAAATACGACAAACCGCCGGATTATACGTGGCTGATTCTCAGTGATTGCCCTGCTACACAAAGCAGAAAAGTAAATGCCATCATCCCCCTTAGAACAAAAGAACTTAGGAATAAAAAACATGGAGAGGGGGGAGAAAGCAGCAATAAATAAAGGTGAGCGAAGGACCCTGTCCTCCGCCCCTCCCCGAAGCGAGTGTGGGACTAAGTACGGCTAATAAAGTGGTTCAAGGGTAGTTATTTGGAAAGGGGGCGGGGTGGCGAGGGGAGGGAGCGGGCAAGCGGCGGCCGCGGCTTGCATGTTGCATTCGACTTGAGGTTGCATCTTTCTCCTGTTGCCTGGACCACGCTCCCCCATTGCAGTGCTTCTCAGTTGCTTCTCTTCGCTTTCGCCCTCACCGCTTTTTTCCCCCCCTTAAAACTGCTGTTGCACTGGAGGGAGTTGGGGCTGTTCCGGAGCCCCCTTGCAGCTCTTGCCCGCGGGAGGGGGAGTTGGGCTCGGGCTGCGGGAGTTGGGGGGGCCGTAGCGGGCTCCGGCCTCGCCTCGGCTGCAGCTACTCGAGAGCCGAGCTGCAGCGCTGCACGGGCCCATCATTGCGGCGGCACCGGAGTTTTCCCCCCCCCACTCGGTGCTCAGCCCCATCACCATCACCGCCGCCGCCGCCGCCGCCGCCGCCGCTGCACTGGAGTTTGGCTGCTGCTGCCCTACTTCACTCTAGTTTAGTTTCACTCACTTTACATCCGGGTTTTTTCCCTAGGCAATGGGGGCCGCAGCACACCCCGTTCCTTAGGCAAAGTGAAATAAATTCGCCGCACCGACACGTCAAGTA